GTGCTGGTGCTGAATCGGCCGGTGCTGGTGCCGTGCTTGTGCAGGCGGTGGCTCTGGATCGGCGCTTCGTTTTTCTGGTGCTGGTGCTGGTCCAGGGATGACATCATGTCATGCCCAAAAAGATATCATGCCATGCAAGGGATGACATCATGTCATGCCCAGGGATGACATCATGTCGTGCCAGGGGTGCCAAACCTATACACCCGCTATCTGGGGTCTATGCCGGTGTAATTTCTTGTCGTCGCAGGGGTTGCATGTTGAGTGTCGAACGAAAGAGCTGCCACAGGGATTGCATGTTGAGCGTCGATCGGGAGAGCTGCCACAGGGGTTACCATTCTGAGCGTGGAACGAAAGAGTCGCCCCAGGGTGCTACATATCAGACCGACCCCACTAAGCAACAAAAAGTTGGACCGATTAAGATTTCATTCTTTTTGGCTGACTGATCATTGCTTCCAGAGCAGATGGCGGGCATCATCGGGCTCGTGAATTTGTTGGGGTCTCCGGCCGCTGACCGTTTAGCAACAGGAATCGGAGCTGAGAAGGACCAAGGGACTCCCGAAGGAAGGATCACGGTCATTGTCATCAGAGATGATGCACATGTCAGTGGACGGGTCGGCGTGGCAACAACCGCCAACAATGGTGATGGCAGTGTCCTTCAGGAGATAGGATCTACTGGGGTTTTCACTGCAATAGCCGAGGGAGATGTGAACGGGATCGCAGAGTCAGTCCGGAATTCCTACGCAGCCGCAGGTGCTCCAGTTCCTGGGAACTGGTCCACAGGTGCAAATGCAGCAGCTGCGCTTGGTGCACACGGAGGTGACGTTGCTCCGTTCGACCAGAACGCTAAGTCCGGTGCTCTGAACCTCACAATTAGACAGTGGGCAAGCTCAACCTCACTGCTCACGCTGCCACCGTGGACCCTGGCAACTGGACATTTCGCACAGTGAACAGGACGAATTCGCTCATGATCGGCATCGATGGCATCAGCATCCACAGGAAAACCGAAAAAAAAATGAAGGATCTCTTTTCTTCTTTCCAGAAGCACTTCACTCCCAGGCCAGGAGCACCTGTCCTCCCTCCCAACACGGATACCGTCCACAACTGGGCTGCACTAGGAATGGACATTCCCTTGGTTCAACTGTGGGGTGCTGCAGGGGCTGGAGTCACTGCGATTGCGGCTGTTGCGGAGGGAGCATACGCGCACTTCGAGGAGTCGCTCTTCGGGACTATCAACGCTTTACAGGCGGTTACCAACGGACCGGCACATGCTGCTGCGGGCCTTCATGTCGCAGCTCCGGCAGCATTGGTTGCTGGGTTTTTGCCAAATGGTGCATGGATCAACGGGCTGGTGGTCTATCGTGATGCCACAGCCGTACCGGTGCTCACTGCACACTCTGGGGTTCCAGGAGCAGTGATTCCGCAAGGTCGGGCAGGAGCCGGAGCGACCAACCGTGCAAACGCTGCAGCCCTGATCCGCGCAGAGAAGGTCCTCTTCGTTGGGATTTTCCCCCACAACGCCAACATTGAGAGCACCATTCACATTGGGTGTCGGGTCTCAACCCTGCTTGCAAACTCTCTGATCAAGTCCAATGGGAGGACCGTTGCCCGCTCAGGGACTTGTTCTGCACCGCCACAGGCCTGGACCCTTGGAGCTATTGCTACGGGCGTTGTCGAGGAGGCGGGTATCGAGGGATATTTCCCCTTCCGCTCGGAGGTCGTCTATGCCACTCCTGCGAACCAAGTCCCGGCCATTCCGACTCCCCTGCCGAACCCCGCTACGCCCCTGAGTCGAGCCCAGGCATTGAGAACTTTTTGGAATGTGGATGATCCTGTGTTCGGCGCCTGGAGCAGCCCTGCCCCGTATGTCAACGACCTTGGGCGTGTGATGAAATGGCTGACCGACACCATTCAGGCCCCTGCTGGAATCGGATCAGCTTTCAGCCGCAATTACATCTCCTTTAACCATTCCTTGGAGGCACCACCGGGTTCCCAGAACATGATGCGGCAAAAACGGTTGTTGTGCTGGGATGGGCACAAAAAGAGGCACACCGCAGGAAAGAAACGGACACTGTTTGCAACCTGAACTTGAAAAAGCCAACCTGCTGCCTCCCCGTCCTGAGCTCCATGGAGGGGCTGAGGACGGCTCTGACACTTCTGGTGCACGTCGCCCGGCCGACGTTTGGGTACCACACTGGAACCTCCACGGGCCGGCGGCCTTTGATCTCGCTGTGACCTCTGGTTTGCGGCAAGGCCACTGCTTCTGCGGCTGATGGTGCCGCGCCAGCGCTGACTACGAGGTCCGCAAGTGCCAGCACCTGCAGACGGAGCAATCGTGCGCTGCTGAGGGCCTTCAAGTCTGGCCCCTGGTCGTTGAGGCTTGTGGAGGTGGATGGGGGCCCACCGCCCTCCGTGCGTGGCGCCTTCTGAGTGATGCCCTGACTGCCCGCGGCGGTGAAGGTCGGGCTGTTGAAACGCAGCGGTTGCTGCAGGCCCTTGGCATCACCCTCCAGCGGGAGAATGCCCGGGCAGTGCTGCGCAGACTGGCGAGCCCTTAGGCTCTCCTGCAGAGTGGGACCACGTCCAGTGAGATTTCCGGGTGGTGCTCCATTTGAATTGAATGGTTGTCCTGATTCCGCGCTTCTTCTCCTCTTTCCTGGATGCTGCAGTGCACTGCTGACAGCCTTTTGGGCCCACCTCTACCACCTGCCTTTCTTCGTTTGCCCTCGTGGCGCTGCCGTTTCCTTTCGCTCCGTTTCCTCCGTTTCATTCCCCTTTTCGCCCGGGTACAGCTGCCTGGTGTTTCAGGGTTGTGTGTAGAGCCTCCGGCCTCTGCCATGTTTTCGTTTCACCGCGAAGGAAGACTCGTGCTTAGTAGGGAATGAGGTCATGAACCACCCCTTTTGGCCCCTCAGGATCCATTCCCTTATTCCCTACGAGTCGCACCAGTCAGGTTGCATGAACATATTACTTCTTATGACAGTGTGTCAGTGATTAAGATATTTTGGTTTGCTGGCTGGCTGGCTATTTTTTGCATTGCAATGCTTCAAAGCAAACTATACCAGCATATGCAGCATAGGCCCCAAACAAGTGAGGTTTCTTTTTGCAGCAGTCTGTTGAATTCCAATGGTGGTAGCGTCGTGATTTATATTCCTATAGCCTCCGGCCGCTTGGGAACAACATGTGAACACAAGAATGTTAGAAAGTTATTGAAAACAATATTTCTTGACTCCAGGGTCACATGTGCACAACCGAAGGGATAAATGATGCTATGAGAAAATCAGCGGGTGACATCAACCTCAAAAGGTTGTTTCGATGTTGCATTCATTAGCCACGCGAGAACATACATACCCGGACAAGGCAATGAAGAAAGGGAAAGCAGAACAATGTTCGGACAAGGTGGTAGGCACCCGGGCAAGGCAATGTATTTTCCCCAAGAAGGAGAACCCCAACAATAAACTGTTTGGGGAACCATTCCGATTAGTATTCACTATACAGTAACAAAAAGTGTCTATGAAGGACCTTGTAACACATAGGTGGGTAGAAAGAAATGAAATCTTTTGACGAATCACACTATGGTAGCCAAACTTTAAAGAAAAAGTTTCTATTTCAGGATAGATCTGACAATTTTCGGACAAGTTGATACATAGAAAACATCACTGGATACTAGATACCAAACCACAATCCATGACAAGGATACAGTGATGAAACTTTAATAAATGTATATGTAAAAAATGATTATAATTTTCACACAGGACCTGACCAAAAAAAATCGGAATTGGTGATTAATAGAAAATGTCAGTAGATGCCAGATCATACTCCACTACAAGGATACAGTAACCAAGACAAATATTTCAATTTAAAGTTTCACAATGGACCTGGCAAAAATCGAATCAACGATTTTTACGAAATGTCAGTTGATGCCCGATGCCAGACCTCAATGGAGTAAATGAAGCAGCGGTGGTCAAGGGACGGCAAATTCGACTTCTCACTTTAAAACTAGAGCGGGCGATGTTGCACGCGACGCTTAGGAGCTCTGAACATCGCGAGCGCTACCCGCACGTTGACTGCCGGACATCTAAAAGCGTTTCGGTGCAGGAGCCTGACAAGATGAGCGCAAAGAGTTAGCATTGTGCTCCGTCCCGCCTTTGTATCCTCATAAAAAAGATGACCGTGCTGAAATTGATATAAACAAATATAAACGTATTTCTTAAAATTGTCTCCAAAAAAGATAGGGTGCGTTGGACCGTAACCAGGTTTTAACTTGCTTGGTCAACGGTTTTGCCTTTAAAACAGTATTCTGGAGACAATTTTGCCTTTAAAAGCGGACTTCTGCAAACAATTTCGCTTCTAAAGCGGCCTTTCGCTCTTCAATTGGCTTCTGTGAGTCATTTTGTCTCCTTCTGTAGACCCATTTGCTTTTAAAGCGGCCTTCTGTAGGCTATTTCGACTTAAACATGCTCTTCTGTCGGGACTTTTGCCTTCAAAATGGTCGTGTACTGTTGGTCATGGTGTGTACTGGATGTGGCGGCAGATTTGTTGAAAACCGCCACATCTAACGTGCATTGGCCGCCCTTGTTGTTGCCAGCTTGCAGATATAACTATAAGCTTACATGCGGGCGGGAGATGACCAAAGTAATGGAGGAGTGTCTCGCAAGTCGAAGCCCCTGGAAAGAGGCAAAGAACATTGGGGCCAACCCGATTTCCTGTGCTCTACCCTGGGCCATGCTTTCCAGGCCGATGGCGCCGTGGGCTTCTCGTTGCGTGTCACCGCGGCGGCACAGCTGGGGGATTCGGAGGCGTGGAATGGGTCTCCGGCCCGTGCGGGTTTCACCGCGTTGGCGTCGGGCAACAGATCTTGGGTTCTCTGTGATTGGTCACTTCTCAGTACTTCGGTGGATATGTTCCCCTTACGGGAGCAATCCATTCTCTTGTGAAAAGTGTATTTCAGGATCCTGAATTCAAGATCTTGAAGGGTGAAATACGAGTTGCAAGCTGGAGCCTGATCAGAGGTCAACAAACATCTAAAGGGGGGACGTTGGAAGTGAAGCTGAAAGTAGAGATGCCAAGACATCCACACGGTCCTCTTCCTGCTGTCAAGGGTTCTTCCTACATGGAGTTTGATTCAACTGCTAGGAGGCAGCACACGGAAGAAGGGCGGAATGGGTCAGTACTTATTTAAAAAACAAAAAAACAATCCAAAAAGAATTCATGCATACAGTCAGAGGTATGTAGTTGGTCTCTCAGTGCCGAGTGGCCTCTCAGTGGCATGGCTAGATGGCTAGTATCAGCCTAGGACCTACCGTTTCTAGTCTACTCTAGTTTTCCTTTGACCAATGGTGCTACTTAGCTTCGATCTTGAGCCACAGGCAATGTCAGTGAATTCTTTTTCGGTTCAATGGGCAACTAGACTGTGCTTTAAAATAGCTCACCGGGCATGGAAGGTTCTTCAACTCGAGAACTGCAGGGGGGGGTGAATCCCAAAAAAGACCATCCCAAGAACCCAGGAGACCGGGATCGACAATCCTGATCCTTCCCACCTGCAACGCCACGTCCACGTCCTTCCAACCACTGCCTTTCAACCTCGTAGCAACCACGTCGCTCCACCGGCACCGGTACGGCACCGTCGTCCGTACCGTCGTCGCGGCGGCCAGGGCTTGGCTTTGGGCTTCACCACGCGACCCCCCAACGAGCTGGAGACCTTGCCCAGCACGGCGGACGAGGCACGGACGGACGCGCTCGGTGGCGCGGTGGAGGGTCGGTCGGGAACTGGGACGGCGTCCGCTTCGGCTTCGGCGGTTCAGTGTGCAGATGACTAGCATCTGTGAGAACATGGGAAGCTACTGGATTCCTTTCCAAGCTAAAACCGAAAACATGGGATCATGGGCAAGTTGAGCAGCCATCGACTGAAGGACCCGACAACATGAAGAGATCTCCTTCCAAAGTAAGTCCGACCTACTTGGGCCACCCGGCACACGTCGGCTTAAAGTTGTTTAAGGTCCAAGTGAAGATGGATCAACACACCCAGACACTCCATGTATGGCATGTTTACCTACATTGGGGTGGTGTTTGATGGGTCAATGGGGCGGCATATATGACAGACGTGGAGTGTCTGGGACATGTCAAAACCCGTGCAACTCTTGTGAGTTGACAGGCCGGATCATGGGTTTACCAAACTCTCCCTACCATTTGGTACGATCAGAGAATGTGTAACAACTGATACGGTGCTCATATTAATGTTTACTCCCTACTACCTACCATTTGTGGATCGCTTTCTGGGCGATTTCTGATACATTCTGATTGGTCCGACTATATGACTTGATTGTTTTTCTATGACTTCTTCTACAGACCCAAGGCAGCTAAGCCAATCGAAGCCATCGCCTCCACACGTTCATCCACTGGCCGCGACCAAGGTCGATCCCTCATACCTGCTGGGCTTCGATGGCGCGGCCTGGGATGGCTCCGCACTGAAGTGGCATTTCAGCCACTGGCAGCCGCAGACCCTCAAGGCGACTCGGCGGCACCAGCACCAGATCGGCGCGTCAAGACCTGGTCTTCCACGTCTCGCGGGTCTCGGAGCTGGTGGGAGAACGCTGCAGCTGGTTCTGCAGGTGGATGGTGAGTGGTGTTTTTTTCGGGGACGGAGAAGCACGCGGAGAGGGCATCCCAGCCAGCAGGATGCTTATGATGCAACATGAATTTCACTCAGCCGGCTCTGCCTGGCTCCTGAAATGGCTATGGGAATGCAGAAGGAGATCCCATTGGCATCACTACATCATCATCTTCCGAAACGGAGCTCAATACACAACGATCACCACGATGCACGTAGCGAACGCTTCAACGGCGTGCAGACCGAAAGGTTCCACAGGCAGACCGAAAGGCGCGGGTGTTTCTTACTGCTCCGATTTCGGCACAGTGATATCAAGAGGTCTGAGTCTGGAAGGTGGCTGCCTCTCCAGCTTCATGGCCTCCGGGGACGTTCTTTCGATCTTTTGCGCAGTGGCGGTGAGCTTGGTCCTTCGTGGTGAGCCTGTCTGAACGCACATTGGGCCTTCCAAACAGCCATGGGTGTGAACCACCACTGGAAACAGTATCACCGCTTGACGAGTAGATCACAAAGTGTTCCCTTTTCCATCCTTTTCCCGTCAGGCGGATCTTCGCAACTCTGTGACCAATGCATGTTTTACTTGTTTCATAGATCCGATGCTGATACACTATGGCGCAACCAAGACGACCAAGCAGTCCAAACCTGCAAAACTCAGCAACCGCAGTGACTCTTAGATGACGTTCTTTGGCGTTTGGCTGTTCACCAAAGATTATCACGAACCTTGGTAGCAAGATCTTCACTCTGACACCTGACCAGCTGTTTTAACGTTGCTGAATCGGCACATGGCATACGGGTTCAATACGGATACACCTGGCATCATAGAGTCCTGTTTTCGAACTCCTTTCCCTGAAAACCACGTCGATTCCATTCGATTCCACTGTCCTCACTTTCGCACCCTTGGGATGCCCTGTGGCGGCTCCTGGAAAACCGGAGCGTCCCACGCGCGGTGCAAAGCGTCGGACGGTCGTGCTCTTAGGCCTTTGACCGAGTGGATGTGCTCTTAGAAAAGCATCGCCTACAAGCGCCTTGTGCTTTTCGAACACGTCGGACTTCGGTTTGTCCACACTTCGCGGTGACCATACGTTCTTCGTGACGGGAATGAGTCACGGCTCTTCGTCGCGGTGTGTGGAACAACGACCCGCATCTTTGGAGCGAGTCAGGTAGGAGGTTTGTGCGACTACCGATGGGTGAAAGGTCTCCAACATGGGTTTGTAGGAGGTTTGGGTGTAGGAGGTTTGTAGGAGGTTTGGCGAAATCCATGGGTCTGAAAGGTCTTTCAATGGGTGACTACCGATATAAAAGGTCTTTCAATAGTATCCAGGCATGATCATTCCCTTCGTGTCGAACTCTGGGACCCTCAAGTTCTGTTTTCTTTTCGGGTCTTCCCGCCGGATCTGGACGGAATCGGAGATAGATGCTCTATGAGAATGTGTGAATCTTGGCTTGGTCCCGTTCCCTCCGTCATCGTTGGCAAAGAGCATCATCCTTGTTTGCGAACGCAGAGGAAGGAACATTGCACAAACGAAAGGACAAACGTGTCCATGTCGTCGAATGGTTGAAACATGGAGGGCCCGAGGGTTTCTTGTTCCTTGTCTTCCAGTATTCAGCATCGGGGGGTCACAAACCATTGGAGGTCGTCTCTGCTCATTAGAGCGATGGCTTGGGAGCTACGAAGCTCAGGTGGCGGTGAACGGCAGCCGTGTGGCTGCTCAACACATGCAGGCCGGGCACGAAGAAGACCACGAAGACAGTGGTGTTGTCTCAAAACAAGGTTGAACCCGTCTAGAGTTGCAGGCTTGCAGGCAGCTAGTTTTTCTGTAGAAAAAGGACGTGAGAATGTGAGATGCGACATGTCCATGCTTCTGCAGAGTCCAAAGTGACCAAATGGCCAAACCTCATCGATCTGGGAGTGACCAAAACACCGTTGGCGAATGCAGGAAACTGAGGAGATCCCCCCGCCTACCCACGAAAAGTGGATAACCTGGATAACCTTGTTGGTGGATTGGTTTCCCCGGTGGAAACGTAGATGTTCCATCTGGATCTTTTCCGACACTCAGGGAGTTACAGTTAGGGCGCCCTTGTCACCCCCTGCCAGGTCTCAAGCCTGCAAGGGCCTTTTTACGCCCTCCTCGACATTGCCAGCGCTGGCATGGGCGAGCCTTGGCCAAGGGAGGGGGCGGACGTGGGCGGTTGTGGCAGCAGTGGGCGGGCGGAGTGGAAGGAGATCGGATGTCCTTGGTCTGCTCTTGGGGCATAGCCCAGGGAACCAGGCTGAAACAAGTTCGGAAGAGATGCTCCACGGTGAATTGGGTCCACCTGACCCTTTTGAAGTGTTGTAAGAGTATCTCCTTCGGGCAAAAAAAAGCTCGTGACGCCACCATGCCCTCCTGGCCCTGGGTTCCTGTTATGATGACCTTGGTGGGAGCAGAGATGAGTATGACTCAGCAATGGGGGGGGCGCTTGGTCTACGCAACAGGCTTGCTGTTGGGGTACAACACGCCACGCAACAGCAGGTTGCAACCACTTCACCAAGTAGGGTTGTGCGTCATGTTCCTTTGGCTCTCCCGGAAAAGCGGGGAGACTCAAACCAAGGACATCACCTGTCCATGTCTCATGTCTCAATCGTCCAACTGTTGGGCCGACCAGAGTCGGACGTCTGTTGGTGGACGGTGCATGTGTTTCAAGAGACAGACAGCGTCTCTGCCGACGAAAGAAAAGGGAAACAGATCCGACATCATCCGACCATCACTCATGAGGAGGTATGGCCAGGTAGGTATGTATTAACAAGAAGCTAGTAGTAACAAGTGCATCGCTTCTAGTAACAAGTGCCTTACTAGTAGTAACAAGAAGCTATTAGAAACAAGTGCCTTACTACTAGGAGCAAGAAGCTACTATGGGCTCCTGGCCTTACTAGTAGTAACAAGAAGCTAACTGGTAGAGTTAACTGGTAGGTGACATGATCCGAATGACTTCGGCCCCACGTCGTTCGGCCCGAACCGTTGTTCGGCGGTTCGGTGGTTGGTGACATCCGGTGTCGGGACGAACGAAAGGAACGAAGCCCATCCCGATTCGACGTAAAGACTGTAGCTAGTCAGACTATAGAGTAAAATAATAGTAAAAAGGATTCTTAGGGTAGTAAATAAGTCAACAACTAAAACCTCTCCAGAGAAGGAAGACCTCAGAAGGTCTCACAACATCTCACAACCAAGTCAGAAGGTTTAATTCCACGAAGTGAACGACCGGTGTCCATCTTCTTTCGCTGCTCGGTCTTTCCGTCTTCGATTGGTTCCTGTTCTTTCTTGGTTGGGTCCAATTAGCTCGCTCCCCTTGACACGATGTTGTCAAATTATCATCAATTCAGTCAGTACCCGTAAAACCCTGCACTCCCACCCAATGGTGTTTTTCAGGCGCCCCCCCCCAAAAAAGAAAGGGCTGCTGGGTTTTGGGGAGGTCACAACCATCTCCAGACCGGACCGTCGCTCCCGCGGGACCGTGGGCTCCACCGAGGTGGCTCTTTTGGCGTCGACGGCTCCGCAGATCGGCCACTGGGGAGCGAAGACGGGTGAAGTGCGGTATGGGGAGGGAGTGTGGTTGGGTGAGCTCAGTGAAATGTGGTTGGGAGTGTGGTTGGGGTTTGGCTGATGGTTTCATGAGTGTGGTTGGATCTGAAGGAAATGGTTGGGATAGAGTTGGTAAAACTAGACGACGAGTGGCCCGAAAGCATTTTTTTCATCACGTAGGAAATCAGAGTGCGAGTTATCCGGTAAGTGTGTAGTGAGAAGTGTTAAGTCGAGTGAGTTGAGGTAGTGTGTGGGTTTCTGTGCGTGTGTCCATGTCCGTGTGGAAAGGAGTCTGCGTATGTGTGCGTTCGTGGAAGTTGAGGGAGTGTGTGGGTGTTTGTGTGCGATGCGGCCTCCCAAACCCCCCACCGGCGGCCAAGCGGTGACAGCCCAGCTCATCGTCGTGAGCATTTGGGCTGCTGGTAAGGGGACAATGGCAGCCAGCGTGCTGGCTTACCCACTTCAACTATGATGGCAGCCAGCGTGCTGGCTT